CATATGATTGTGATGGAATATTCTTGTGCTGTGGGAAATGATGAAGGAGATGGTTTCAGGAAAACTCGGGAAGACCTATATGAACTAACATAAAGAGAAGTGAGAAGAGGGAGATCACTGTGCACAGCACAAACAATGTTGTAATGATGATCAGCTGTGAAAGACTTGGCTACTCTGATCAATACAATGATCCAAGATAATTCCAAAGGACCCATGATGAAAAAATGCTGTCCACCTCCAGAGACAGAACTGATGAACTCTGAGTTCAAGTTGAAATATAATTTTCTTGCTTTCTTTCTTTATTTTTTGCTTTATTTTGAGATATGGCTAATATGAAAATATGTTTTGCATGATTTCACATGTATAATTGATATCATTTGTTTACCTTCTTAATGGGTAGGAGATGGATGGGAAGGAGAAAGAGAATCTGTAGCTCAAAATTTAAAAAGAAAAGAATACCTAAACATAAATAATATTTTTAAACATGTAAAGAGAAAGTTATTGTAAGAAAGTATTGGAAAGAACATAGGACTGAAGTGAGGCAGATGTCAAAATAGAATGGTTCATACATAAGACTGAGAAAAGTGGAAGAGAAATGATCTATGAGAAGGAGAGGACTCACAGAAAGTCGGTCACTTTCTCTGTCTGTTGCTCACAATCCCCTATGACCCCAACTTCACCCACCCAATTCTTCCTTATCCTTCAAGGTATTAGCCCCTTGAGACAAGCTAATCTAGTGTTCTGGCCCACACTGGATTATAGGGTCATTGATTTAGGGGCAGAAGGGAGCTTAAAGGTCATCTAGTTTGAACTCCTCCTTTTTCAGAGAAGGAAACTGAGGCTCAGAAAAGTTAAGACTTGTGCATGACCATATAGATAAGAAGTGGCAGAACCAGGATTCAAATTCAGTTCCTCCAACCTCAAATACTGATCTCTTTCCACTCTAAGATGCTGCCTTAAGGCTTCCTGAAAGGGATGGATGAGAACTCAACAGACCAGATAGGCTGAGAGAATAACATTTCCTTGGCACAGGGAGCAACAAAAGTAAAGGCATAAAGGCTATAAGGGTGGCTTATGTTAGGGAATTTCAAGTTACCCAATTAGGCTGGATCATGGAGTTATGGCAGTGGTATTGAGATGATTGGCAAGGTCCTTCAATGCCAGCAGGCAGAGGAGTCCAAAGTTCCCATTGCAGGATTTGATTAATTCAGCAGCAATGTGAGGGATGACTTGGAAGAGGGAGAGAGTAGATCCAAAGAGATCTTAACAGATCCAAAAGGCTTTTGCAGTAACCCAAGCAAGGGGTTAGACCAAGACTGCAGCAGTGAACACAAGGAAGAAGGACTGGGTGGCATTTCAGAGCTGGACTCAGCAGCGCTTGGAAACTAATTAGACAGAGAAGGTGAGAGAGAAGGAAGAGTCAAGGCTGACAGTAGGCTTTCCAACATGGGACCCAGGGTAAATAGTGCATTGACAGAAACAGTGAAGTCAGAAGAAGAAATTTCCTGTGGGTTTGTTTTCAGGAAAGGTCTGTAGTTCAGTTTTGGAAATGTTGAGTCTGAGACACACATGGAATATCCAGGAGATCTGGAACTCAGAAAAAAAAAAAGGGGGTTGGGGCTAGAGACAAAGAGATTTGGGAGCCATCTGCAGAGAGATAACAAGATTTCCAAGGGAGAATAGAAGAATCAAGACTAAAACTTTGGAAAATACCCACCCTAAGGGGACAGGAAGAGAGCCGTAAGATTTAAAAAGAGATGGGAACTTTCGAAATCATCAACCCTCTCTCATTACAGATGAGGAAACAGTACCAGAGAAGTTGCTTAAATAATCTCTTAAGTAACTAAGGTCACATAGGTAAAAGGGGGCAACATAGCACTGTAGAAATTGGAGTTAGGATTCAAATCTCCTCTCTGATGCTTAAAAGGTGTATCGTCATGACTAATGTGGAAATATGTTTAATATGATTATACAAAAGAGCCTGTATTGGATTGCACAGTATCTTGGGGAGGGGGAGAAAACTTAGAACTCAAAATCTTATAGAAGTGAATGTTGAAAACTAAAAATAAATTGTGTGTGTGTGTGTGTGCGTGTGTGTGTGTGTGTGTGTGTTTTAAAGGGTAGGGAGTTTGAACCAGGTCACCCTGGCTGTTGTTCATACACTGTCATACCGTCTCCCATCTTACACTTTAGCATGCCTTGATGGACATTAAGATGCCTAAATAAAAGATCAAAAGATTTTTAAAAAGGGGTGTGGTCATGGTTGTCTATTCACCTTTATGAGAATGTTTTTTCATCTCTAAAATTGGGACAATAATGCCTTGTAATACAGTCTTCATAAAATGTATAAAAAGCTCCAATTAGATGATATCCATAAAAAATGCTCTGCAAACCAAGTGCCATTAGCCATGATTATTACAGGTGGCAAGATTGGGGTTTTTCTTAACTTCAATTTCTTTCACAGCAAGGAACAAAGTAGAGGCAGGGAACAGTCAGGGAGAACAAGGAGAATATTCGATCTCTAAAGCCAAGGCAGGAAAAGGTAGCCATAAAGACAGAGTAGTCTATCATATCAGATGCTGCAGACCCGGCAAAATGAAAAAGGACCAATAAAATACCACTGAATTAGTTGATTAGGAGAGCATTGGTGACTTGTAAGAGCAGAGTATCAATGGGGAACGGCAAGGATGAAAGCCACATTTGAACAGGTTGAAAAGTGAATGAATAAGTGGTAGAGAACTGAAAACATCAGGCATAAATGATATTTTGGGGCAAAGGAAGGCAATTTTAGGATTGGGAAGACCCAAGCATGTTTTAGGCTGATAGGAAGGAGCTAAGGGAGAAGAGATAGTCATCTCCCATCTCACTGGAACAAGGAACTGGAAAAGGCAAAAGATGATGGGAATGAAGGGAAATTAATATAGCTCCCATGGATTTAATTAAATAAGTTTTTATGAAGCATTTACTATATGAAGGCACCCACGATCTGAAGTGTAGGGGAAAAGGTGGTTAATGTGCTGCATTTAGATCAGAAGACTTGGATTCAAATCATGATTGTGACACTTACTAGTTTTGTGACTAAGGTCAAGTCTCTTAACCTCTCTGAACCTCAGTTTCCTCCTCTGTCAAATGAAGAGCTTAGACAAGATGGAATATGAGGTTCCTTCCAGATCTAAATCTATGATCTTTTGTGCCAGGCACTGTACTAAGCACTGGCAGATAGTCTTCACCCCCTTTGTAGGCTGAGAACAGCCCATTTGCTATTCTCAGGAACAGACTGTTCCCCATCCTCCCCTTCCCCCTGTGCCCCATGCCTTGGTACACACTCCCCGTTATCTGCTTTATAGAATCCCTAGCTTTTTTGCCTTGGGCACAACTAGAAAGCCCTCCCTCCTCTCCACCAATCCAAGCTCTTCCTATCACAGAATCTCAGCATTCACTTAGTATGTCCTCTAAATGTACTCTTGAAATCAGGAATCATTTCTACACCAACCCTGCCAGTGTTCTTCCACATTCCCCTTAAAGACTTCCAGTGACAAAGACCTCTATAACTTCCCAAGGCTATTCCATTGTTGGACAGCAATAACCGTAGCTGCTTCTCTGCAGCTTCTGCTCGCTGGGGCCAGAGATCAGGAGCTGACCAGCACAGTCTAATGACTTCCCCATGCCCTCCCTTTGGACATTTAAAGAAAGTGAGCAAAACACCACCACCCCCTTAAGTCTTCTTCAGTCTAAACATTCCCAATTCCTTCAACTGATAGTCATATGACAGAGTTCAAGTGCCCTTTCAATCCTGGTCTATATGGGTGTGTTTAGTAATTTTTCAGTTGTGTCTGACTCTTCATGACTCCATTTGGAGTTTTCTTGGCAAAGATCCTGGAGTGGTTTGCTATGTCCTTCTTTAGCACATTTTATAGATGAGGAGACTGAGGCAAACAGGGTTAAGTGACTTGCTCAGGGTCACACAGCTGGTAAATGTCTGAGGCTGGATTAGTCTTCCTGACTCCAGGCCCAGCACTTTATCCACTGTACCACCTAATTGCCCTTCAATCCTGGTCCATCTTCCTCTTAATGAATGTTTGCTTGTGGGTGTCCTTTCTAAAATGTGCCCCAAACTGGAAACAATACTTCAAATGTAGTCTGACTGTTCTAGAGGATAAGGAAACCATCACCTCCCTCACTAAAGGGTATGTTGAATGTCTAAGCGGCCCTAAGATGGTTTTTTTTAAAAATTTGTTTGTTTGCTATCCCATGATGTTGCTAATTCATATTAAGCTGAGTCCACTAACACCTCAAGTCTGTTTGGTTTTTCCCCCCCACATGTTAATTCTTGTCTAGATAAATCTTACCTAGCTTGTACTCATTCAGGATAATTTTGGAACCCAGTGAAGGACTTTACATTCATCCCTACTAAATTCATATTAGATGAAACTTCCTGCTCAACTCTCCCTCTGGAGATGTCAGCACCATGGCCTCCATTTGTCCCAAGGTCATCGACACTATGTAGACATTGGTCCTCTGCAGAGAAGCTGCTCCAGGGTGCAACCCTGGTTTCTTCCTGTTCTGTTTGTATAACAAGGGGTTGCACCCACAGTGAGCCTTCAGTGCATACTTCTAACACCAGGAAGGAGGAATATGACAAAGGAGGAAAAGGTTCTGAAGCCATAAGAAGGGCAACGGCCCCCTAGCAACAATGATTCACTCCAGCAATGACATTTCTTAACCGAGGTCCTCCTGTCTCTGGACCTCTTGGTCCTCCTCTGCATCATGAAGAGGTTATACTGAATAGTCATTTAGTCCTGTCCTGGCAAAACATCCTATTGCATTATGATGCCAAATGTAACACCAGGAGAACTCCACTCTCCAATAGTTAAGACCTCTATCCTCAGCGGACATGTGATTCAGGCCACCCCACTGACACTAGATTCCCCCAATCCCTGATTCTCCTCCCACTGGGAACAGGGCAGAGTCCAGTCAGGCCCTGTGCCTTCCCACCTCACCTGGATGTGCAGACGAGCCCGGCGCAGCAGGCTCAGGGTGGTGTATCGGGCACAGTCTGTGCTTAGGGGCATCTGTTGTTTCAGCTGCTCCAAACAGCGCCTCAGTTGGGCCCTCCTGTGAGAGGGAAGAAAGTGAGCAGGTCCTTCAGAGTTTGGGCATCTGTGGGTTTGGGGGCTTCCCCTACGATGGAAGGGTATGGGGAACAGCAGCAAATTGCCAGGCTCAAGTTGAGTCCAGCAGGAAGCCCAGGACCACTTCCTATCCAGAAGCCTCCCAGCCTGAGGATTGACTCCTCTGGTTCAAGGTTTCCCCCAGCCTAGATGATGATGATGATATTGATGACGATGGTGATGGTGATGGTATGTAGGACCAAGATTCCTCTCCTATCTCCCTCTAGTGCTAGAACCCCAACCAGAGAGGGATCCTGGAGGTTAGGTAAGTCCAACTCCATCATTTTTACATATAACATCACTTTTGTGTAGCCCTTTCCAAAGCACTTTCTTCGAAACCATTTTGTGAATTAGGTGATTCAAATAAACAGTTGTCCCCAGTTCACAGATGAAGAAACTGAGGTTCAGAACCACATGCTTAAGTTTGTGCAGGTAGGAGATGTCAGAGCCTAGATTCAAATGGCTCTAAGTACAAGACTCACTCTGTGATACCTCCCCTGCCTCTTAATGATTGGGAAAGGGAGTTCCAGTTTTCATGTGTAAAATGAAGAGACTGGACTAGATCCGCCTTTTGGTTCCTTCCAGCCCTAAATCTAGGATCTTATGATGCAGTCCTACCCCACAGGTGGTCCTCCCCACTCCCAGATCCCAACCCAAGTTTCCTGGTTTCCAAGCCCCTAGAGAAGCTTTGGGAAAAGAAAAAAAAAACACTTTTTGGGAGCAAATGAGGCAAAACAAGGAGCCACGCCCTCCACAATCACCTGTGTTTCTCCAGTTCGCTGTGCACGGATCTGAAAGGCAAGTGAGGGGGTGAAGGTGAGGCAGGTGAGCAGCCACTCATGACCCTGTTTCCTCCCCCCAGTGAAAAGGAATTACCCAAGAGATTAAAAAAAAAAAAGGATAATCTTTAGATGTTATCCCAATCCTCATTTTACAAATGAGAAAACTGAGGTCTAAGGAGGTTAAGTGACTTGCCTTCAGTTGTTCACAGAATTTTCTTTCTCCCCAGCCCCTAAAGACTCCAGCACCCTAGGCACAACCCACCCCCTATCAGGGACCCAGTCTGAAACTAGGTCACCTGTGGGCGCCCCCTAGAGTCAGAACCAGACACCCACTTCACAGCTGAGTAGACTGAGGCCGGGATGGGCCAAATCCACCTCCTGCCTCCCCTCCCAAAACCCAACCTTCACCTTAAACTGTCCCTAGGGGCCTTGGGTCTCCTCCTTCCGCGGTTTACTGGGCCCAAGTTGTGAGTAGGACACAAGGAAGCATAGCCGTGCTCTGCCTCTGAGGGAGAGATTGTGTTCAGAGACTGTTAGAGCTAGAAGACACCTCAAGATAAGCTTATTTTACAAATGGAGAAACTAGGGCCGAAAGAGTCTAAATGATTTGCCCCGAATCACAAGACAGATTATCGGACATCTTTAGATTGATTGCCCATGAGCCCCAGCCCCCCGAGCGGGGGGCGCGCTGCGGAGTATGGAGAAAAGGGGGGAAGGCTTTTGGCGCCAGGTCCTCTTTCCCTCCTTCTTCCCAAGCTGAGCGGGGGGTTAAACTGCGAACGCGAGGGAAATGAAGCCCTGGCAGGGAGTCGGAGAAGAGGCTAGCGGAGCAGACTGGGATGAATTGAAAGGGGAAGGGGCAAAAAGACGCTGTCCCCGCCCTAGTTCTGACCCCGCTGGAACCAGGCGGACTGGCCACTTGATGAAGCTAAAAGATGAAAGCAAAATAAGTTTAGCTTGCAAAGGAGAATTCCTGCTGGGGAACTGCCTCCCACCCCTGGGCTCTCCAGTCTACAGCCGCCCGGGTCTGATTCGAGGGGAGCAGGGCACATAGGGAGGCCCAAGGATTGGGGGTAACCGGGGAACCAAGTTTCTTACCTCGTTCCCTCCGATCCAGGTACTCAGCTGCTTGCAGTAAAACCTGGATGCTACTGGCACCCTGCTCCATCGCGACCACAGCTGCCTGCGGGCGGGCGGGGAGCCGAACCTAGGGCCTGGGGTGCGGATCTGTGGCTGCGGTGGCGGCGGCACTTTTGTTACAATGTAACTGACACGGCGCAACAAACACAGAAAGCCGGGCTCCGCCCCCTTCGAACGTCCAGCGCTCCTCGCCCCGCCCCCTTTGGAACTGGCCCGGGAGCTGGGACTTGCCCTTGCGCCACCTCCTCTTCCACTCGCAGCTGGGAGACCCTCCGGCAAAGTCCAGACTGACCCTAGCGAGTTGAGCTTCGGACTAAGGTCCCATGATCCCGCCAGGTGAAGCGTCTAGTCACTCCGTCTTTGTTGTAGGTTCCCAGCTCATGGTTGCTTCAAGAGCTCATAAGATTTAGAACTGAAAGGGCACAAACTACCTAATCGCATTTTACAGACATCTGAAACTCCGGGCAGGGAGTGGAGCAGCGGGGGTGGAGTGGTAGGAGGACAAGGGAGGGAAGAAGGGAAATGACTGGTCCAATTTCCCACAGGAAAAAGGAAGAGAACTGATGGTAGCCAAACCAGAGGAAGGCAGAGTGTGGAGTTAGGTTAATTAACCAGTGCTCTGCGCCAGACTCGTGCAAAGCCCCTCGAAAGTGACCTCGGTCCCTCCACTCTCATTACCCCCGTCGATCCCAGGAGCTCCTAAGTCGGTGACGCAGATCTTCGACCAAAGGTAGAAAGCCCTCAAGAAGGCGAAAAAGAAGAGCCAGTCAAATTGTGATATCGTGATGAGCTTTGAATGTGCAGTCGGGAGACCTGGGTTCCAGTTACAGCCCCAGTCCTGATGCGTTCTGCGACCTCTTTGGACCTCGGTTTCCTCAGTCTTTCGGATCCCTTCCAGTTCCGATTTTCTGATTTCTAGGAAGAGGCACGCTGTACTTTCTTCTCTCTGCTGTCTTCTTCAGACATATACCACAAGCAAATTCCTAAGTCATTGCAGATAGACGAGAGATCATCTAGTCCACCACCAAACAGGCACTCGAAGAGAACCGATTTGCTCTGAGCCACACATGCAGTTGGTGGACATTTCTTGCGTAAGGGTGAACCGGTCTAGTAGCACAGCCTCTAAGAGGAACAGTTTCTCCTCGTACCTCGGACATTGCACCTGCCATGGACTTCCCCATCCCATGGAAGCTGGAGCGCCTCCCGTGGGAATCTTTCAGAGAACACGTACCATCCGAGAAACTCAGGGGCCATGGATGAGGTCTGGGAATCCCGGCTGGACTCTGCCCTCGGAAGGCCGACCACTGACAGCCTCCTCCTCCAGCTGTCAGGATACAGACAAGCAGGACTCTACACGTGGGCACAGCCAGAGCTTGGCCCGCACTTTTCAGCCCTCTCATTGGCACAGAAGGACTTGCGTCACTCTACCGTCACCCTATGGGCGGGGCTCTCGGGCTGCCGTACTCCCATTAGCTGACTCGGAGCTTCTCCGTCCCACCTCCTTAGCAAACAAATTCGGGCGGGAAAGAGCAGGTTTCAAATTTGAAAAGGGGGAGGAGCCAGCAGGCTGGACGCCCCGCCCCGAGGCCGCACTGCGCAGGTGTCAGGTGCTCGCTTTAACCCTCCACCTGCTCTGCCCCAAGACTGTGGCGGCGCTGGCAGAACCTGCAGGGCCGAGGTGCCCGCCAGGCTTACCCTTGCGATGCCCAGAAGAACGTACCCGCCCCAGGAAAGCTCCTGTCCACCGTCTATAAGGGAGTGCCAGGGCTCTTGCCACTGACTGTAGTAGCGTAGTCTGCTCACCACGCAAAAAACCCGAGCGGGGTGGGGGGTTGAGTTGCGAAAGATGGGTGGGGATTTCAGCTCTGCTAGCAACACGCATTTATTAAGCACCTGCTATATGCTCGGCAGTGTACTAGGTCCTGGGGAAACAAGGACAAACATGAAACAGTCTCTGCACTCGAGGAGTTTACGTGCTACTGGGGAAAGACAGGTACACATAGACATATATATATATAAATACAAGGTAATTTGAGGGGAAGGGAAGGATAAGGAAAGGCCTTGTAAAGGTGGTGTTTGAGCTTTGAAGGAAGTGAGGGATTCTGAGAGTCGGAGATGGAAGATGAAATATCCTGTGCCACACAACAGCCAGAAAATTAGTTTGGCCCCTCCTTCCCAGAGCTGGTAAAGGGGAGTAATGTGTTTTATCCCCAAAAAGGCAGGTTGGAGCCAGGTTGTGATGGGCTTTAAATCCTAAACAAAGGAGTGTGTATTTGATCGTGGAGACAATGGGAAGCCAATGGAGTTTCTTGAACTGGGGAGTAACACGGTCAGACATATGTTTTAGGAATATCACAGTTCTGAGAACAAATTGGATTGAAGAGAGGCTTGAGACAAGGGAACTGATTAGGAGTTCAGGGCAATAGTCCAGGAAAGACGTTATGAGGGCCTTGAACTGTGGGAGTGGAAGAGAAAGGAATTCAGAGATGCTGTGAAGGTAAAAACAGTAAGAATTAGAAGCTAACTGATTAGATGTGGGTGAGAGGGAGAAGTCAAGTATGACACCAACGTTGTGAACCTGGATGATAGGAAGGCAGGAGATGCTACTGCATAGACCTGGTCACTGGGTCATTCGATTTGCTGAACTGTTTTTCTTTGTTGTGAAGGGAGGCTTCGAAGGTGGAGGAATGACATATCTAGAAATGACTAACGCAAACAACAAAAGACAAACTAAAACACTAAAAAAATCAAAGGTCAGAAAATGGGTGTCCACCAATCAGGAACAGCTGAGCAACCCTTGGCACGTGAAAGGAATGTTATTGCACCATCACAAATGGTAGATGTGACTAATCCAGAGAAACCCGGGGAGAATTTGCATGAACTGAAGCAGAGAGAAGCAAGCAGAACCAGAAAAACAATGTACACTTAAACTATAATAAAAGAATCAAGTAGAGCCCAGTGTTGTGTAATTATTATGACTAATTTTACCCCCGGAGAAGAGATGAGGAAACATTCCTGCTTCCTTTTATTGGAAAGGTGAAGAAGTTGGGGATGTGGAGTGTTGCACACAGTGGAAGACTGGGTTGCTGGGTCTGTTGGTTTTAACTGTTTTTCTTTGTTACAAGGGAAGGCTCTAGTGTGGGAGGGGGGAGGGAACAGTATATCTAGAAATAACTATGCTGTAAGAACATAAGGCATCAACAAAGCTTGCTTTTTTTTTTATTAAGGACATGCTAGTCTAAAAGAAGGCTCAAGGATCAAAGATTTAGAGCTAGAAGGTGACTTGGAGGCTATTGGGTCCAACCCTCTCATTTTATAGATAAAGAAACTGAGACCCAGAGCAGATAAGTGACTTGCCCAGGTTCAAGTAAGTGTCTGAGGCATGATTTCAACTCATGTCTTTCCTGACTCCAAGTCCTGATCTCTATTCACTATATGATTTAGCTGCTTCCTACTCTAAAATGAGGCATCAATGAAGGACATAATGTGGAAATCTCTCTACTGTCATCATTACTGGGTGGTGGTGGTGTTCAGTAATGTCTGACTTTTTTATGATTCCATTTGGGGCATTCTTGGCAAAGATATTGGAATGGTTTGCTATTTTGTTCTATACCTGGTAATGAAGGGGAGCTAGGTGGGGAAATGGATATCTTTTTTATTTTATTTATTTTTTTTTAGGCAATTGGGGTTAAGTAACTTGCCCAGGGTCATATAGCTAGTAAGTGTCTGAGGCTGGATTTAAACTTAGGTCCTCCTGACTCCAGGGCCAGTGCTCTATCCACTGCACCACCTAGCTGCCCCCCCCTTTTTTCCTTGCTATGTTGTGAGAAAATTTAATTGGATCAATATGACAACAATAATGTTTAACTTTTATTGACATTTATACAAATAGTTGCATAGAATGCTTTTGTAAACCATAGCAAACAGGGCTAAGTGACTTGCCCAGGGTCACACAGCTAGTAAATGTCAGGCCAGATTTGAACTCAGGAAGATAAGTCTTCCTGACTCCAGGCACTCTATCCACTTCTCCATCTAGCTGCCCTCATTACCAGGTACAGAACAAAAATGAGGGATTATTGTCTGCCTGGTTTTATCAGGCCCTCAACTACCATTCCACCCTCAGTATTCTATTGCCCCTGCCTCCCCTACCCCACCCCCCACACACACCCTGTCCTTGCTGCTGCTAATCTGCTATGGGCTAGTGATTGCAGCTGCAAGCATTAGAACTGGGAAGAGTAAAAGTCCCTGAGCAAACCCCATCTTCACTCTCTTTCATCTGTCTGTCCCTCACTGCCTGCTTGGCCACAAGAGAGAGTCAAAGACCATTTTGAAGAATCTCTGTCTTTAATCAAACAAAAATACATCTGTGAACAATGGGAACCATAATTCCCTTGCCCCTCACCCCACCAGGAAGGCAGGATAGATCAGGTATTCACAAGCCCAGACTAGCCACAATGAGAGGGCCCTCAGAAAGTGGGAAGAGGCTCCTAACTGCTCCCCTCCCCACCCCACCACAAACACAAACATAGTTATAGAAATATCTATCTGTACTCACCAGGGTCCCCCCTGAGGCCAGGCCCAGACCACAGGCCTCCAAAAGGCAGTGAGAGGGATGAGAAGGGCTACAAGGTAGGTGCAAATCTATTCTAAGAGGTCCCAAGAGAACCCAAGAGGAAGGAAGGAAAGGGGAGTGAATGGGCACACCCTGGCCTCTGCCCTTTCTTGATCACTCCTAGTGTGCACACAGCTTGTGTTAGGAGCAACGACAGCAGCACCCCTGAGAATTTTTGAGGTTGGGGAGGAAAGAGTGTCCCAGATCCACAGTCCAGGGACCCAAGAGCCTCCGCCCAGAAGGAGGGCAGGGAAATTCTCCCCTGTAAGTTCAAGTTCAATCTCTCTTCCTAGGACAGATCCAGCACCCTGGATGACTATCCCAGAGGCCTCTAGGCCTCCCAAGTCCCCAGCACAGAGCCTGGACACAGGCAGGAGAAGTCCCGTCAGCTGGCCCCAAAGGCTAGTGCCTGAGGCAGAGATGTCAGGAGCAGCCTGGAACAACATGAGCAGCATAGCAGTGGGCACATACCCGCACAGGCTTCATGTAGCCAAACCAAGGCAAAGGCACAGATTTGGATGAACATCGAGAGCAGAAGATCTGGAAGGGGTGGGAGGAAGAGCTCATGATCTCCTCAGCTCTGCCCTCAGCCCATGCCTCAGGAGCTGAAGGAGGGCCTGCACTCACTGCCTCCACCCCTAGCACTGCCAAGGACCACCCGAGCATCATGGAATATAGCTTTGTTTCCAGCTGCCTATGGTTCAGGGAGAGATACTGAAGTACAACTAACCCCTCTGTGGGCTTGCTGGGTAAAATGAAGGGCTTGGACCATGAGAGTTTTAAGGCCCACTCAAGTTCTTGAGTGTCCAAAGGCCTGAGAAGTGGGCCCAGGAATCACCTGTCCCTCTCCCTCCCCAGCATGCACCTTTCTGCATCCTTTCTCCTCTACCTGTCCCTACCCTCCACCATTCAAGCCACCTACCTTTCCACAGTTCCGGCAGTGGTGCCTTCGGCGAGTGAGGCTAAAAGGAGTCTGACAGGCGGTGCAACGAAAACAGGCATGATCTGGGACCCAGGCAGGAGGCTCTGTGAGGCAAACGAGGGCACTTGTCTGTCCGCTATGGACACTAGAACTGGGGGTGGGGTGGGGACAACAATGTTATAATACCTTTGACAACTGCACCTCCAATGTGAGAGCAGTCAAAGCTAAATGTGTGTGTGTGTGTGTGTGCATGTGTAGACACACAAAGGGAGCCCACTAAAATTCCCCAGAAACCACTGAAGCTGAGCCAGTCTGCAGGGGTCTACTTGGACCCAACTTACCTTCTCGGCCATACTCAACACACAGGGTGCAATCTGCCAAAGGGGCGGCCAACTTACAACATCCTTCCTCTGCTTCTTCCTCTTTGTCGGGGTCACAGGGAGAAAGGGGATGCAGAGGTAAGTACAAGATTGGGAGGATGGAACCCCGATGCAATTCTGACTGCAGACAAGATCCCTGGTTTAGCCCACCTTGAGAACCCCGCTTCAAGTGGCCCAGGCAGTACTGCTCTGTGGGGCATGGACAATAGCAACAGGCTAGGGTCATAGATTTAGAGGAGAAAGGACCTCAGAGTCCATCTCTGGTGAGTGGTGGTAGCTTGGTATACTATATTGGGTAAAACATTAGACTTGCAATCAGGAAGACCTAAATTCAAATCCTGATTGTTGATACTTACTAGCTATGTGAAACTCAGCAAGTCACTTATGGCCTTAATATCCTCATCTGTATGAGAAGCCTCAAAGGTCCCTTCCTCCTCTAAACTATGATCCTAAGATCCCTTATTTGACACATGTGGGAACTGAGACCCAGAAAAGAGACTGGCCTAAAGTCACACAAATGGTAAGTGACAAAAGCAGGATTTGAATCTGGCTCTTCTGACTCCAAACCCAGTGCTTTCTCCCTGTCCCTTGTAACAGTAGCCAGCCCTTGGTGGCCATAGGGACCCTCACCTGGCTCAGGCTTGGATACCACCACCAGGAATACCATATGCAAGATGGCTCGAAGTTCGCTGGCAAAGTTGGTCTGCAACTGGTCAGCTACACCTAGTGGGCAGAGGGTGCAACAGTGGCTCCCCCGCCCCAACCCGGCAGGGCTCCACCCCAGGCAGTGGCCCTCCCTCCCCTTCCCCTGACAGGCTCTAGGAGAGCTGGCAGAGACCTTTTTACTCCAGGGCTTAGCCCAGGGGTGGGGAACCTGTGGCCTTGAGGTCACATGTGATTCACAGAACAAATGGCCCTCTAGGTCCTCAAGTGTGGCCCTTTGACTGAATCCAAACTTTACAGAACCTTCTGATCCAAGGATTTGTTCTGTGAAGTTTGGATTCAGTCAAAGGGCCATACCTGAGGACCTAGAGGGCTACATGTGGCCTCAAGGCCACAGGTTCCCCACTCCTGGGCCAGCCCTTTCCCTCCCAGCCTTGATCTGTTTCCCCATCAGCTGTGTGGATGATGCAAAGAGCAAGGATAGCCTGGCCTCAACCTAGCCCATGGTACAGAGGGGACCAGACACCAAGACCCAGACAGACTACCCTCCCCCTGCCCATATCCATGTTAAAGACTCCAATCCTGAGCTTAACCTTCCCCTTTCCCCTACCCCAGAAAGCAGAGACACCATCAACATGCCCTTACCTGAGATGCAGACGAAGAGCGAGTGGAGCATGTTTTGAGGGCTGGGGTAGCTGGCCCGAAGTGCCCTGCCCATCTCTGCCTGCAAGGACCTGTCCCAGGAAGAGACAGAGGCTCAGAAAGGTCACCTGTTCCAAAGGCAGCAGGGAGGCTGCTGGGAGAAGAGAGCTCCCACAAGCCTCCCCCCAAACCCCGGAACAAAATGGGACTTTAGAATGGGTTAGGAAGGCATGGAATAAGACAAGGAAGGGATTTTACTCTCAGCACATACACTCAGCAGAGGGACCCAGGTTTCTGAGATTCAAAACTAAAAACGAATCTAAAACTCTTTCTTTTTTAAAAATCTAAAAATCTAAAACTTCACTTTCCAGATGAGCAAACAGAGGTCTAGAGAGGGGAAAGGTCAGGGCCCAGGTCTTCTGACTTCTACTCTAATAAGATTTCTAAGAAGACTGAAATAAGAACCCTTTGGAGTCATGTACCAAGCCTGAGCTGGGACCCACTTGGGTGGGACTGGCCTTGCTGGCTTCTGGTGAATCAAGATGCTGAGCTCTAGGGTAGGGCTGGGGAAGGGCTCTTGTTCTCTGGGTTCTCCCACTACAGTCCCACCTCCTAGCTGAAGGCTTACCTGGCAGCCACTGACTGGTCCTGACCAATATGTTGGTGGGCGCCATATCTTCTGGGCTCTTGTCTCCTTGGTTCCCTTGAATGCTGGACAGTGCCAGGAGACCCAGCCTCAGTGGGTACTGGCCCATCCAACAGCAGGGGGCAGGTAGCATCTCCAGAGTCAGTCCATGGGAAGGAGGTACCTGACTTGGTTCCCAGCTTCTCAATTGATGCTTGTAAGCCCTGATCTGGACAGCTAGGGGGTGGGTGCTGCTTGAAGGGCAGATGTGGGGCAGGTTGTGTGGTCCTGACCCTACTCTGACAAGAGGTGTTAGATACTGAACTGTCTTGTCTGGGATTGTCCGTGGGCTCCCAGGGGGCATCTGCCACACACAGGCTCCGTTCAAGTATGAAGAGCTCGTCAGCTGATAAAACAACCAATAGGGCTCTGTAGGAAGAGAGGGGCCAAAATTTGTCCTAGAATCCATGCCTGTCCACCTGGGCCCTATCCCATCCACTACAGGATCTCAGGGCCTCCCCAAACCAGACCAATGGGAATGACCTCCATTCCCTCCCTGCTTACTGGATCTTCTGCAACAGGCTTCGAAAGGGACTGAAGACATAGACTGTAGCACCAGGTGGGCTCAGGCTCAGGGGGCCCTCAGGGTGGATGAGAAGGCCACTGTGAAGCAAAGGATATGTGTTAGGGCCTTTCCCAGTCCCTGATACCAGAGCTCATCTCAAATCCAGGCCCTGAGAAACATTTAATATGGGTAAAAATAAAATCCTAAACTAAGGCTAAAAAACTTTACTGTGCAAGGTAGAGAGGTAGAGAAAGGCAAAGGAATATGGCTAGAAAGGAGTTTACTTTTTAAAAGACACTGACGTCTTAGTGGACCACAAGCTCAGCGAGTCTGCAAAGTACGTTCAATCTTGGGCTCAACTGATGATAAAATCAGATGGTCGGAGCTGGAAGGGACCTTAGAGATCACCTAGTCCAGCCCCTTCCTTTTGTGGTGGGGGAAACTGAGGTCCATAGCAGGTAGATATAACAGTAAGTGGTGAAGTTAAGACTTGAAACCAGGTCTCCCACTGCTATGTCTGATACTCTGTCCATTACACAATGCGGCCCATCTAATGCTGTCATGTGGAAGAGAGGTCATGTTTGCTTTTCTTGGCCACCCCAATGAGCCTGATTATATATCTTGTTGTGATTGGAAGAACCAGGAACTCAGCACAGATGCTGCAGAGAGGCAGACTTCAGGCCAATAAAAGAAAAAGCCTCCTAAGAATTATTGCCCTCCAGAGGTAGAAAAGGTTGCCTCAGGAAGTGATGATTTCAGAGTCTTTAACACTAGAGTCCTCCCTGAGGCTGAAGGGGTGACCACTCCAAAGTGAGAGGCCTTTAGCCCAAAGGTCATTCAATCCAAACCCCTCATTTTACCGATTAGGAAACTAAGGACCAGAGGAAGAAAGCAGCTTGTCCTAGATCAATGACAAGATTCCCACCTGCAGAAGGGAAAGGTTGTTTTCTGAGGTAGCTTTCGGCTTGAGATTCTATGAACAAACATCTTCCCCTTCTATTTCCTCTACCCCAGAGATTAGCAATAGCCTTGACCCTAGACCCCCAACCTTAAGATGAGTCCCTGGAAATCCCTGAGGCCTGATTTCTCTCACCTGATGATGGCCAGGCGAGGTATGGTCAACATGAGACTAGGCTCGTAGCTGTCAATCATCTTCTGGGTTAGGTAGCCAAGTTCCAGGGCCCTAATCCAGAAATATGGTAGGAGATGGGTTGAGTCCTAGGCATAGTTTGGCCTGACCACCCCCTGCCCTGTGGGGGTCCAGCTCCAGGGGATTCTTCTATAGTCAGCTTTGTGGTCCAGCCATCCTGAGCCATGTCCCAGGGCCCCTCCCACAAGGCTGTTTACCTGGCTACTGTCTCACAGAAAAGTACAGCCACCTCCTGCTGCTGCTCGAGCTCCTCTGGGGACTTCAGAGGGGCTACCATTGCCACATAGCTGAGAGGGAAGAAGCAGTGATGGTCAAATCCATCCTCCCCTAGCTTTCCTAAGGCAGTGAAGGTAGCAGAGGCCTGTTCTGCTGCTGGCTCCATCTTCCCTCACCCTCATGTCCCACAGGCTCTCAGATCAAGGTGAAAGGCAGAAGGCGGAATCTCAGAGCTCAGACAAGGAGCTGAGAGTGCAGTACACCTGAGTAGTCACTTCCTGTCCACATCTCCCCGCCCCAGATCTGTCCCACATCCTTAGTCTTACTTGAACTCAAAGTCAGCAAAGAGGTTGTCAAAACGAAGCAGGGCAGAACGCAGAGACTGAGAACAGGGCCCAGGGCGGCCCAGACTCTGCTCTCGCAGGACAGCCCGAGCCTGCTCTAGGCTCAGCAGCAGGTCCCGGGCTAGAGGCTGGAGCAGCTGCTGAGCAGTCTCATCCACTTCCACAAAGAAGCCAGCCACCAGGCACTGGAGGAACACAGGATGCTAGGCTGAAATGGGATGGATCAGAGGCCCCTGGGTAGGGGCTGGGGCAGTATCAAAGAACAATGAGCTGGCGAGGGAAGGAGAAATAGCTAAGCCAGGAAGTTCTTCTCTTAGTCACTGAGAGTTATCAGGATTTGTAAAGATGTTGGTCCATATTAAGATCAACCAGTGGGGAGTTCTGCTGGGCTTGAAAGGGAAAGGGCTAATTGGCAGTTCCTACACTTCCCCTCAACACTGAGGGGAGCAGAGACCTCAGCTCTGTACATGGGGCAACCAGGGCTGACACTAACCTCAGCAGCAAAGAGCACATGGGACCCCAGGCTCACTCCCAGCAGCTCCTCTGGGAACTTGGCCACATAGTCCCGAGGCCTTCGATCACCAGACAGGTTCTCCTCCATTATCTGCTCCATCACTGCCAGTAGCTGCTCCTGGAACACCAGGCAAAGGGCCTCAACCATGGCCTCCTACTCCAACCCAGCCTTCCCACCTTGAGGTCTCCGACTCTGGGATCCCCATTCCCAAGCCACGGCTTCCTCCCTTCTTCCCTCCACTGGAGAATCACTCTTGTGCTCCCAACTCCTTAGTTCAGCCCAGGGGTGGGGAATTGCAGTCTCGAGGCCACATGTGGCCTTCTAGGTCCTTGGGTGTGGCCTTCTGACTGAGTCCAGATTTTATAGAACAAATCCTTTTATTAAGGAGATTTGTTCTGTGAAGTTTGGATTCAGTCAAAGATCTGCACTTGAGGACGTAGGGGGCCACATGTGGCCTGGAGGCTGCAGGTTCCCCACATCTGGTTCAGCCCATCCCTATTCCTCCTTCTTTAAGTACCTAGCCCAGCTCTTGAAAGGGAAACTTGGATACATATCACCAAAGAACCAAATGGATGCCTCACCAGCACCTAAACCTCTAGGTCAAAGATTGTCAGGTATAGTAGGTAGATTCCTAGATTCTAGATTTCTAGAAATCTTGGTCTGAGCTTTAGCTCTGCTGCTTACTATATTATATGACCTTGGGCAGTCCCTTCTACTTCCTGGCCTCAGTTTCCTCATCTATAAAATGGACTAAATGACCTTGAAGTTCCCTTCCAGGGCTAATATCTATGAATTGCTATCCACCCAACCTACCCTTCCCATCAAGGTCCATGGTGCTACATCTTCCCTGTCATCGTCATCTTTGACACTTTCCTCTCCTTCAGCTCCTATACCCAGCTACCATGTCCTGTTTCTGCCTCCAGAATCCTTAGTCCAGATCCTCCTCAACAATTTAAAAATAAACCCATTGATATCTTTTGCTTTTATATCACCTTCATTTCCAAATATATTCCTCACTCTCTTTCCCTATGCAACAAAGTAACAAAGAAAAAAAAAGTTGCCAGTAGAAGTTCTGCACATTAGACAATATATCAAGTGAGCTTGATGGTACATGCAACGCTCTGCAACCAGTCCTCCCTCTACCTCTGCAAATAAGGGAAGGGAGTACATTTCCTCCTTCACCTCTTTTCCAGGGCCAAGCTTGGTTATTATAATTACACACCATTCAGTTTCCTATTTTGGCCCTTTTAGTTTACGTAGTCATACTCATTGTGTCTGCTGTTTTCTTGGTTCTGCTCATTCTATATCCATTCATATAAGTCTCCCCATGCTTCTCTGAATTCTTCAAATTCATCAGTTCTTCTGGCCTACTAATATTCCATTACATTTATGTCTCAGTCTATTTAGCCAGTCCCTAGTCAATGGGCACCTACTTTATTATCTGTTCTTTGCTATCATAAAAAAAAAAAGCCACTGCGATGAATATTTTGGCATATATGAGACATTTCTTTTTGTCTTTGTCCTCCTTGGGGTGTATGCCTAGCAGTGGGATCTCTGTGTCACTTTTTTTCTCTTTCCTTTTTTTTAAGCATAATTTCTAATTGCTTTCCAGATTGGTTGGACCAATTAGAAATTATTTTTTAAAAGTGACTTAACTATCCATGCCCTTTAACCTCGTCACCTCTCACCTGGACTGTTGACATAGCTTCCTAACTGGTTTCGTTTCCTCCAGTCTCTCTCCCCTCCCCAATCCATTTGGCACAGATCCCTAAGGGGAAAGGTCTGCCTGCTGTGTTAGGGTGGGGCAGAGGGAACCACAGGTGGTATAGAAGGGGCCTAGCTGATGTTGGGAGGTGGGAGACATACCTGGCTGGCATGGAGCTGATTTAGCAGCACCAGGTAGTGCTGAGGATCTTCCTGTACATTGAGGCTGATGATTTCAGTCACCACTTGTGTCACTCGTTCATCAGCAAAGAAAAATTGAGCCAGCAGCCGAGGATCTGACCTCTGGGTAAGAAAGGTGAAAGATAGGTCTGAGTCAGTGTCCCTCGGGGAGCCCCACCCACACTCCAGGTTCCTGGGGACTGGATTTGGAGTCAGAAGATAAGGGTCTAATACCATTTCTGCCACTTACTACCAGTGACAAATCACTTAACCTCGATGGGCCTCAGTTTCCTCACCTGTGGAATAAGGACATTGGACCAGATGATCACTAAGGGCTCTTATAGCTCTAAATACATGATTCTTTGTGCTATCAGCTAGGCAGGGCTTAGCATGGGCCCCCATTGGAAGAGGAAAGCACTGAATGACATCACACATGACAAAATTTACTATATCTCAACAGATAGGAAACAACTAGCTATAGATATAGGAGTCATTTTAAAAATCACACAATAGCTGATTTATTAAACACTTTTAATTAATTTATTTATTCAGTAGCACTACCAGTCTGTCTCCCATGTTGAAAACTTTGGTGTTTATCTTCAACCCTTGTGTTCTGCCTCACTTCTCACATTTGTTAAGTGATCAAGTGCTGTCAATGACCCACTACAACATCTGTGAGATCTTTCTTCTTTCTATTTCTGCTACCACCACTCTCAATGCACTTTCCTGGACTATTACAACAGTCTCCTAAAAGTCTCTGACTCCATTTTTCTCCTCACTTCAATCCATTCCTCACACTACTGCAAGAATAATCTTTGCAGGGGTGTGCTGGAGCCAGGTTGAACTAGAAAGCCGAATGTTAAATTTCCAATGCAAGTATTTATGACTAGGAAATCTGCAAATGCTATAAATCAGTGTTTCATTTATTGTTTTGTTGATTGTCTAGATTTACCAAGTGATGGAGAAAACAATAATGCAGGTTCAACTTAAAAGGATGTCACGTGCACATTTTTCAGAGAGCTGGTTGTTAAACATTTTTTTTCCACATACCTGTGATCATACCACTCAAAAAATCAATTCAATCCAACATGTTTTTATCTGTCAACTACTGTGTGCACTATCTTGGGCATTGCTTTTACAAAGAAAAAAAATGAGATAATCCATTTCATCAAAGAGCTTATGCTCTCCTGGAAGGCAATGGCTTCCTATCTTCTGAGTAAAGTTCAAACTCATTTGGCCTCCCACAAACTGACACCTTTCCACCTGACTAGCCTTATTTCATAGTACTTACCTCCAAATCCACTATGGTCTAGCTAAATTGCACAGTTCTCACCTAAAAAACGTCCTTTGCTTTCTTGGTTTTGTTCACTATGCTACCTATATTTCATTTGAAATTTATTCAGGAGGTACTTATAAAGTCCCTCCTATGTGTCTGGCACAGGGCTAAGGACTGGAAATATAAAAACACAATGCAATAGGCCCTCCCTTCAAAGCCTTTACATTCTACTCAAGAAAAACAATATATGCTCATTAAGTATACAAAACACATTCAAAGCAAATATAAAGACATTTCAATGTAAGGATGGGAAAGTATTGGCAACTAAGGTTGGGGCGGGAAATCAGGAAATATATCCTTTCTCCTCTTCATCTATTAAATTTCTACCTATCCTTTAAAGCTCAACTCAAAGGCTACCTCCATGACATCCTCTATATAACCACTTTTCAACTTTTGATACAGACAGTGGGGTGCAAAGGACAGAACGTTGGACTGGGAATCACAGAACTTGGGTTTGAATCCTGACTTTAGAATCTGACCCTTGATAATCACTAGCTGCATGATGACCCTGGGCAAATCATTTAACCATTATAAGCCTCAGTTTATTCAGCTATAAAATGGGAACACTAATACCTGTAATACCTATTTCACAGGACTTCAAAGGAGCTAATGTAGTTAAAAGACTTTAAAGCCCAAAGTAAAGATCAAATCAACATTAGTCAATCAACATGCATCATTAAGTGCCTGACATATTCCCAGCACTGTGATAAGCATGGGGTTTGCAAAGAAAAGCAAAAAACAGTCCCTGCTCTTAAGGAGCTCTCACAGGAAATACAGCATGCAAACAGTTCAGTCATTCTACTAGTATTTATTTTTTCAAAATAAGTTTTTATTGTTGTCTTCTGTTTGCTTCAGCATCATAGTTATCCCAAGTATTCCTCCTTTTGCTCCTCCCAAAAAGCCATTCCCTCCCTTGGAGGGAACAATTTTGACAGATAGGTGAAGACAGAAACCAGATTACAAGAGGTTGAGGAGAGTAAGGAAGGAGAGGTTTAGGGTGTAGAGAGCTTTTTCAGTAAGTTTGTCCATGAAAGGGAGGAGAGAGATGGAACATAAAGGCTTAAGTGGAGACCAGAACTTGTTTATATTAGGTGTGAAGCACTAAATGGAGAGGGAGAGACTGAAAATGCATCAGGTTTAGTACAGTCACAGTCTGCCCTTTGGCAGAAGGGCTTCTCGGAGATATTGTGGATCTGAGTTTGTGCCTTCCCATAACCTTTTTATTTCAACAAGATTTTTTTTATAATTAATTAATTTTTAGTTTTCAACATTCACTTCCATAAGATTTTGAGTTTTAAATTTTCTCTCCCTCCCTCTCCGTCCCAAGACAGTGTGTAATCTGATAGGCTCTATTTATACATTCATATTAAACATATTTGCACATTAGTCATGATATAAAGAGGAATTAGAACTAATGGGAGGAACCATGAGAAAGAAGAAACAAAACAACAAAAGAAAAGGAGAGTAAATAGTATGCTTCCATCTGCATTCGGACTCCTAAATTCTTTCTCTGGATGAGGACGGAATTTTCCATCATGAGTCTTTTGGAGTTGTCTTAGATACTTAAATTGCTGAGAAGAGCTAAGTCTATCAAAGTCAGTTATCACACAATGTGACTGTTACTGTGTATAATGTTCTCCTGGTTCTGCTCATTTCACTCTGCATCAGTTCATATAAGTCTCTCTAGTCAACAAATTTTTACTGATATTTTCTATTTTTTACATCATCATAATATCTCAAGTATCCATCTTCCTCTCCATCCCTGAGAGCCATCCCATATAACAAATAGTATTTTTTAAAGAGGAAAAAATATCAGCACAATTGATCAGTACATTGAAAATGTCTGAGAACATGTGCAATGTATAACATCTGTGGCTCTCCCATTTCAATGAAGGGGATGTCTTCTCATGTCCCTTCACTTGAGTTCCACTTGATCTTTCTTTTTTCTTTTTTCTTTTTTTGTGGGGAGTGGTTGGCAATTGAGGTTAAGTGACTTGCCTAGCTAGTAAGTATCTCAGGCCAGATTTGAACTCCTGACTCCAGGACCAGTGCTCTATCCACTGCCCCACCTAGCTACTCCTGAGTTCCACTTGATCTTTATAATTTTACATAAAATCTTACATAATCTTTATATTTACTTTTGAGTTTTTGGGTGTGTAGTTTTTCTTTCCATTTACATTGTTGTAGTTATTGTGTCTATTGCTTTCTCAGCTCTGCTTACTTTACTCAATTCATATAGATTTTTCTGTGCTTCTTACAGCACTCTAATATTCCATTACATTCATGTACCACAATTTATTTAGCCATGCCCCAGTCAATGGACATCTACTTTGTTTCTAATTCCTAGCAATCACAAAAAGTGCTGCTATAAATATTTTTAAGTAGATGGGGACTTTTTTCTTACTGATAACTTCCTTGGGTAGAAGCCCTATAATGGAGTCTCTGGTTCAAAAGGTATGGAAATTTTAGTCACTTTATTTGCATAATTCCAAATTGCTTTCCAAAATGGTTATACCATTTCACAGCTCCACCAAAAATTTGTTAGTGTGCCTATCTTTCCACAGCTCCTCCAACAATGACTGTTGCTATTTTTGGTCATTTCTGCCAATCTGCAGGGTGTGAGGTAAAACATCAGGGTTGTTTCCATTTGCATTTCTCTTATTATTAGTGATTTGGAACATTTTCTCATGTAGCCATGAACTGTTTGCAATTCTTCTTTCGAGAACTAATTGTTCATATCCTTTGACCATTTATCTATTGGGGAATGGCTATTAGTCTTATGTACATATATTTATTAATTGTTTATATATCTTGGGATACCAAACTTTTATCAGAGAAATTTGATACAAAGATTTTTCCCCCCATTCAACCACTTCCCTTTTTATCCTAGAAGCATTGTCTAGGCAAAGGCTTTTCAGTTTCAAGTAATCAAAGTTACCTATTTTATCTTTCGTAACTGCCTCTATCTCTCGTTTGGTTAAGAATATATCTCCTACTCATACTTGTAAAAGGTACACAATCTGTTTCTCTTTTAATTTTTTTAATAATGTAATCCTTAATATTGAGATCATGTATCCACTTAGAATATATTGTGGAGTGTGGTATAAACTTAAGTCTAATTTCTGCCAGACTGCTCTGCAGTTTTCCCAGTAGTTTTTATCAAATAGGGAGTTTTTCCCAAGGTAATTTAAGTTTTTCACTTTATCAAATTATTAAGTTCTATTGTTTTTTAATCTCTCTTATTTAGGCCATTTATATATCTCTCTGGTCTCTAACCAGTAACAGATGGTTTTGATGACTGCTGCTTTATAATATAGTTTAAGCTCTTCATCCTTGCTTCTTTTCATGATTTCTCTTGATATTTCAGGGGTGGGGAACCTGCAGCCTCGAGGTCACATGTGGCCCTCTAGGTCCTCAGGTGAGGCCCTTTGATTGAATCCAAAATTCACAGAACGAATCGCCTTAATAAAAGGATTTCTTCTGTAAAACTTGGACTCAGTCAAGAGGTTGCACCCAAGGACCTAGAAGGCCATATGTGGCCTTGAGGCCACAGGTTCCCCACCTCTGGTCTAGATCTTTTGTTTTTCTAAATGAATTTTGTGATTATTTTGTCAAATTCTATAAAGTATCGTCTTGGTAATTTGGTTGGTATAGCATTAAAAGTGTAAGTTAATTTTGGCAGTATTGTAATTTCACTATATTAGCATGGCCTAGCCATGAGCTGAATACTCCTCCAGCTGTTAAGGTTACTTTTTATTTCTATAAGGAGCACTTTGTAACTGAATCTATACAAGTCTCTTGCATGTTTTGGGAGTTTGATCCCCAGATATTTTGTGCATTTTTAGTTATTTGGAATGAGAGTGCCCTTCCTATTACTGCTTCTTCTGTTTTATTATTATTATTATAATATATAAATACCTTGAGGATTTTGAGGATTTATATTGTAGCCTGCAACTTTGCTGAAGCTATTAATTGTATCAGTTAGTGTCTGCTAATTCCCTCCAGCTTTCTAAGTAAACCATTATGTCATCAGCAAACAGGGAAGATTTTATATTTTTTTTACCTAGCTCTATTCCTTTAATTCCTTTCTCTTTTCTTATTGCTATTACTTATAGTGGGGAGAATAGACATTCTTGCTTCATTCCCACATTTATTAGAAAAGATTCTAGTATATTTTCATGACATATGATGCTTGTTCTTGGTTTTAGGTAGATGCTTTTTATGATACTAAAAAAGATCCCTCTGTATTTACATTTTGTAGGGTTTTTAAACATAAAAGTATTGTATTTTGTCAAAGGCTTTTTAAATTTTGCATTATTGAGATGATCATGTGGTTTTTAAGTGTTTTGATTTTTTATATTAGGTGATTGTTTTCCTAATATTGAACCATCCTTACATCCCTAGTATAAATCCCACTTGATTATAATGAATGTGTGACCCTGGGCAAGTCACTTAACTTCATTTACCTCAGTTTCCCCATCTGTAAAATTAGGATAATAATAACACCTACTTTCTTGTTGTGAGGATCAAATGAGATAATAATTGTAAAGCACTTGACACACAGCAAATGCTACATAGATGTTAGCTATTATTATTATTATTAGTCTTCACAATCTGTCCCCATTCTGCTTTTCCAGACTTATTACACCTTATTCATGTCCAGTCAAACTGGCCTCCATGTTGTTCCTCACAGCTGAAATTCTATCTTTGGTCTCCATGCCATAGCAATGGCCGTTCCCAATGCCTGGAATGCCCTACCTCAACACCACCCCTTCTGGGAATCCTTGTTTTCCTTCAGATGGAGTACCACCATCTATATGAGACCCTTGCTTGTCCCCGAAGCTGCTTGTGTCCCCCTCCCCCGAAGGCTTTGTATTTATTTTGTATATATTTTGATATATGAACATTTTGTCTCCCCCATTAGAATGTAAGCTTCTTAGCACAAGGCCAGTTTCACTTTTGTCTTTCTCACATAGACACTAACTAAATAAATGCTTGTTGATTGATTAACATTATGGGTACAACTTTTAAGTCCAAGGTGACTTACACATTTAAATAATTACAAAATAAACATAAAGCACTGGGGGTAGGGGAGTGGAAGGAGGGAAGGTTACCAGTCTAATATAAAGGAAGTGTGTTAACAATGGACAAACCAGCCTTTGAACTAAGGGGGCTAACATTCTCCAGGGGAAACAACCAAGTATAGAGAGAAGTAAATATGAAGTAAATACAAAGTAATTTGGGAAGTTGTTCAGTCATTTCAGTCGTGTTCTACTCTCTGTGACCCCATTTGGGGTTTTCTTGGCAGAGATACTGGAGTGGTTTGCCATTTCCTTCTCCAGCTTATTTTAAGATGAGGAACTGAGTCTGCCCTTAATTTGAAAAGTACAGGGGGGGGGGGGGGGGGGGCCTAGAGATCTCCCAGGCCTCTGTGGGGGTTGGCACTTCAGGTGTGCCTTGAAGAGAGCCAAGGAGTCTAAGAAGTACAGGGACAGCATTCCCTGAATTGGAGACAGTGTGGTCATAGGCACTGAGGCAGGAATGGAATGATGTGAAAGGGGAACTTTGAATAGGCCAGTTTAGTGGGAATGAAGATCCGGTTGGAGCTGGACAGTGAAGTTGGACAGCTGAGTGGTGCCAAGGTGCACAGAGTGCTGGGCCTGGAGTCAGGAAGACCTGAGTCTGAATCCAGACTCACACACTTACTAGTTGTGTGTCTCTGGGCAAGTCACTTAACCCTATTTGCCTCAGTTTCCTCATCTGTAAAATTAGCTGGAGAAGGAAATGGCAAACTATTCTAGTATCTCTGCCAAGAAAACTCTAAATGGAGTCACAAAGGGTCAGACATGACTGAACAACAACAAAGGAAAGTGAAGGGGTTTTTTAATGCCAGAGGAGTTTGTTATTCTATCCTAGAGACAACAGAGAATCACAAAAGCTTCTTGGGCAGGGGAGACTTGTGTCTTAAGAGACATCAATTTGGCAGCTAAGTGGAGGGCAGAATGGAGAAGGTAAAGAGATTGGAGGCAGGGAGACCAATGAGGAGACTATTTCAGTAGTCCAGGAGAAAAGAGATAAGAATCTGAACTAGGGAAACTGAGGTGCAGATAAATTAAGTAATTTGCTCAGAGTCACACAGCTAGTAAATCTCAGAGCATAGGATTTGAACCTAACCATTATGATCACTGAGGCCATCATCAATACATTTTTTTTGATGGCACCTGCACCAGCCAGGTTCCAAGTCCAAGCAAAGAATTGAAGCTTGGAGCCAAAAAGGAAGAAGTGGAAAATTTCACAGGTATGAGAGTTTTCCTGACTCTGGTGCTCTTAGCACTATATTATGCTCTCCTGTAAATGAATGAATGAATGAATGAATGAATGAATGAGGAAAGATAGGGAAGGGCTAATTTTCTGTATTGACCAGTTGCATGGCTAGTTTCTAAAGCCCTGAGAGGTTTCTTCAAATCCTGGGGGGCCCAAGCTCTGACTCACCCCCCAAACACCTCCTCCCCTCCACTTACTCCACCTCCTCATACCCTTTGGAAAAACTGCTTTCAGAAGGAACAGGATTGACTGGAAGAGGCCTATCTTGGGAGATGAAGCAAAGGGCTAGCCCAGAATCCTTGCTTCTGGGCAGGGTGAACCAGCCAGGTGTCCTCCAACCACCCTCCAGCTTCCTCAGCAAAAGGGTTGGCTGCCCCCCTCCAAGGAAAGGCCGTTCTCACTCAAACCCTTCCGTCTCTTCTCCCCATTTACTTTAATTCTTTACCACCTGCCTGACCTGGGATACCTTCTGGACTGGTGGCATAAACCCAGAGGGGCCTGTACTCCCTTCTTCACTCCCACCAAAGCTCCAATAGCTCAGGCACCGGCAGGGCGGGAGGTGGGGAGGGTTGAGTGTAGCAGTGAAAGTTTCTTCCCTTTTTAGAAAGTGTCTATAAAGTCAGAATGGGGAGAGGGTCTGAAGGAGGGAAAAACAGGGAGGGAAAAACAGGGAGGGCCATATTTGTTTGCTGGCGGGGATCCGGGCGCCTCCCATTGGAAAGGACAGGGGAGGGGAAGCGGCAGCTGGGTTCTAGGGGACCCTGGGGCGCTTGGCTCCAGGAAGAAGAAGATAAGGATTGGGGAACTTACCTTGGGCCGATTCAACCACTTCCTCACGGCGGCCGGCAGCATGACAGGACCAGGGAAAGAGGCAGCTGCCCAACCTCACCTAGGCCGCCTCACCTTGGCAGAGCAGAGCCCTGCCTTGCCCCGCCCCCGCCGCGCAGTGCACCCCGCCCTGCCTAGCCCACGGTGGGCTGGCCCTGAAAATATAGGTGGAGGAGGAGAAAGAGGAGGGATCGACCCCAGCCCGGGACTCGTTCCAGAATCTAAACCCCCAGCTGCATCTCGCTAGGGTCTAGTGCGTTAGGTTCCTGAATCCTAGAAAGTTAGAGCAGGACTAGGTACAGAGATCACCTACTCTACCCATCTCGTTTTACCGAGAGGAGGAAGGACTTGCCCAAGTAAGTGGCAGAGACAGAACTAGAACTCCAGACTCATCACTCGGGCTCAATTCCGCCTCCCCACTCCCCTTGCGGCTTGGTGAACTCATCTGTGAAATGGATGTAATAACGCCTGGATTACCTACCTAGCTTCCAGGCTGAAGTAAGGAAAACACTTTGTGAAATCCCTGAGCATTAAAGAAAGGACCGTGCTGTTAGGGAGACTAGGTGGCGCCATAGTGCACAGAGCGCTTGGACCTGGTGGAGTCAGGAAGACCCGTCTTCCTGAGTTCAAATCTGACCCCGGACACCCTGGGCAAGTCACTTACCCCTGTTTGCCTTAGTTTCCTCATCTGTAAAATGAGCTGGAGAAGGAAATCGTAAACCACCGCAGTATTTTTGCTAAGAAAATCCCAAATGGGGTCACGAAGAGTCCGACGCGACTGAACAAGTTGCTGTTATCCTCTGGTTTATTTTCAACTACACATCTAGCTTTTTAAAGGGCATACTATATGCCAGTCACTGTGTTAAGCTCTGAGAATATAAATAAATGCAAAAAAACAGCCGTTGCTTCCAAGTAGCTCATGCTCTAATGGAGGAGATAACATACAAACAACTTTGTACAGACAACACATAGACAGAATAAATTGAGGGCTGCTAGGTGGTACAATGGATAGATTCCAGGACTTGAAGTCAGTAAGACCTAAGTTCAAATTCAACCTTAGACATTCTCCAGCTGTGTGATCCTTGGTAAATGGCTTAACCTCTCAATATCTCAGTTTCTTCATCTGTAAAATGAGGATAATAATAACCCCTACTTCTTAGTGTCAGTATTAGTATCACAAGCCTTAAAGTGCTAAATAGATGCTAGCTATTATTACTAAATTGAGAGTAGTCTGGAAGGCACTGACATCAAAGAGGACAGGGACAGCTAGGTCTTTTAGTCTCCTGGAGAAGTCAGCTTTTTTGGGGGGGGACCCTTCATTCAAGGCCCCATCTTACTTTTCTAGACTTAGCTCCTTCCACATGGATCTTTGGTTCTCTAGGCAAGTGCATCCTGGTCTTTCCAGACATTCTCTGCACCTGAAATGTGGCTCTATGCATCAAGGCTCAGCTCACAGTCACCTCTTCCTTAAGGGCTTCTATGACTCCTCAATAGATGAGTCCCCTCTTTTCACCATGACAACGTCTGTCCTTGGCTCGTAGACCTGATCACCTCCTGTCCCATATAATAGTTGGGCCCATATCTTATCTTCTTGGAAGCAGTACGGAATCCTGGTTTGATCACTAGCCTGACTTAAAATCAAGAGACCAGGCTTAGAACTTAGGTTCTATCCACCATTTACTAGTGTCTATGGGTAAATCATTTAACTTCTCTGGTTCTGTTACTTCATCTGTAAAAAAGCTTCCTTCAAGGCCCAACTCAGGGGCTACCTCCTATCAGGGATTTTTCCTGACTGCCCTAGCTGTTAGCACTGTGTCCCACTTCAAACAGTCTGTCACTTATTTTCCAGGCTCTGGTTTTATCTCCCCATAGGATGTAAGTTCCTTGGGATCAGGGATTGCTTTTTCACTTCTCTTTGTATCCCCAGCATTTAGCACTGTTCCTCGCACAGAATGGCTAAAGAAATTATTAATGAAATACTACTGTGCTGTAAAAAATGATGTATGTGATGAATACAAAGAAGCATGGAAAGATCTATATGAACTGATGCAGAGTGATAGAAGCAGAGCCAAGAAAAATAACACATACAATAATGACAACAATGTAAATGAATAGAACCACACACCAAAAAAATCAAAAGTAAATGTAACAAAATTAGAGAGATCAACTGAGACCAGAATGAAGAGATAGGAGAAGACACCCCTAGCCTACCCTTTCATGGAGGTGGGGGGCCCACAGAAGTTACACATTGCACATGTTTTCAGACTTTCTCAGTGTACTGATCAGTTGTGCTGGGTTTTTTCCCCCCATCTACAAAAATATTATTTGTTATATAGGATGGCTTCCAGGATGGGGAGAGGGAGGGATACATGGGATACTATGGTGATGTAAGAAACAGAAAGTTTTTTTTAAATTAAAATTAATTTTTTTAAAAGCAGGCTTGTTGTTCAGTACAGGAAAATCTGGTAAAGAGCTTTGTTATCAAGTTACATTGGCACTTTCTTGACAATTTGTGGTCTTGGAGAGTTGCCTGGGAAGGCTAAGAAGTTCTGTCAAAGGTGACCTCAAACCCTGGTATTCCTGTCACTGAGGCCAGCTCTCTTTCATTATGCCATGCTCCTGCTTATCTAAACTTTCTATTTTCCCCAGTGCCATGCAAACCGTAGGAACTTAATAAATGCCTATTGGTCTCGAAAGTACTGCTAACTATTAACAACAATGTGAATGAATGCTCCAGGTTGCTAATTAGCAAGAGAAATGTAAATTGAAACAACTCTGAGCTTTCAACAGACATGCAGAAAACTGACAGAGATGTCAAACATCAGGAACAGCCAATGTCAGATGCATTGGGGAGAGGCAACTCCAATTTTGTTGGTGGAACTGTCCATTGGTAAACATTTTGGAAAGCAATTTGGACTTATGAAAATAAAGTGACTAAAATGTCCATACCCTTTGACCCAGATGGTCCATTGCTAGGTATATACCCCCAAGAGGTTACTGACAAAAAAAAATCTCATATATAGTATATATGGTGTAAATAATTATACACAAATATGCTTACAGCAGCACTTTCTGTGGTACTAATTATAAACTCCTCTGTTTGGCTTTCAAAGCCCTTTATAACTTGGCCCCTTCCTAGCTTTCCACTCTTATTACACCTTATTCCCCTCTATTATCCTGTGATCAAGGGACACTGGCCTCCTTGCTGTTCTTCAAACAAGACACCTCATCTCCTACTCTGGTCATTTTTTTTTTTTTTTTTTTTTTGCTTTTTGGTGAGGCAATCAGGGTTAAGTGACTTGCCCAGGGTCACACAGATAGTAAGTGTCAAGTATCTGAGGCCAGATTTGAACTCAAATCCTCCTGACTCCAAGGCCAGAGCTCTATCCACTGCACCACATAGCTGCCCCCAACTCTGGTCATTTTCAATGGCTGTCTCCATGCCTGGAACTCTCTCCTCAGATCTGTCTCCTGGCCTCCCTGGCTTTCTCCAAGTCCCAGCTTAAATCCCACTAAGACTTTCCTAAGCCCCCTTAATGCTAGTGCTTTTCCTGTATTGATTATCTCCAATTTGTCACATAGATAGAAATAGATATCTTGTTTGTACATAGCTGTTTACATGTTGTCAATTCCATTAGACTGTGAGCTCCTTGAGATCAGACATCATATATTTATCTTTTTCTGGGGGGAGTATTCCCCTCTCTTAGCAATGTCTGGCACATAGTAAGATAACAAATAATAAATATAATTTATTTAATATAAGCAATAAATGCTCATTGTCTGTCTGATGACCACTCTGACTGGGTCTTCCACAGATTTATATTACATAATCTCAGCTGGGCCCTCATTACTGATAGGCAATCATTTTACAGATGAAGAAACTGAGGGGGACAGCTAGGTGGTACAGTGGATAGAGCACAGGCCCTGGAGTTAGAAGGACCTGAGTTCAAATCTGGCCTCAGACACTTGACACCTATTAGCTGTGTGACCCTGGGCAAGTCACTTAACCCTATTGCCTAGCCAAAAAAAAAAAAAGAAAAGAAAAGAAAGAAAGAAAGAAAAAAGAAGAAACTGAAGTATTGAGAGGTTAAAGTCATTTGCCAAGGATCATACAGCTGGAGAATGTCTAAGGTTGAATTTGAACTTAGGTCTTCCTGACTTCAAGTCTTGGAATCTATCCACTGTACCACCTAGTGGCCCTCAATTTATTCTGTCTATATCTTGTTTGTACAAAGTTGTTTGTATGTTGTCTCCCCCATTAGACTGTGGGCTGCTTGAAGGCAAGAGCTGTTTTTTGCATTTATTTATATTCCCATATATCTTCTGTTACTCTCTCCTCTTTCATTCCTGTCTCATGAGGTCCTTCTCCTTGCCAAGGCAAACCCTTCTGCATGCACAAATGATCCATTTCCATCCTGTCTCCTTCAGCAGATTGTCTCCTCTGTCATGTTCACTCTCTTACTTATCTTCAATCTTTCCCTGTCTACTGACTGCTTCTCTACTGCCTACAGACATATCCATATCTCCTACATACTCAAAAAAAACCCCTTCACTTGATCTTCCTATCCTCACTTTCATTCATATCTCTCTTGACTTTTGCAACTAAACTCAAATTTCTATCCTCTCACTCTCTTTTTAACTCTCTATAATCTGGCTTCTGACCCCATCATTGACTGAAATTATTGTCTCCCAAGTTACTAATGATCTCTAATTGCCAAATTCAATGGCCTTTTCTCAGTCTCATTCTTCTTAATCTTTCTTCAGCCATTGACACTGTTGATCACTTAATACTCTCTTCTTTCTAGATATTTGGGACACTATTCTCTCTTGGTTCTCTTCCTGTCTGACTATTCCTTCTCTCTTCTGACACTGCCACCACTCTGGCGCAAATCCTCCTCACCTCAACCCTGGACTACTGCAATAGTCTGATGGTTGGGCTGCCTGCCACAAGCCTCTACCCACTTCAGTTCATCCTCCTCTCAGTTACCAAAGTAATTTTTTTTTTTTTGGTGAGGCAATTGGGGTTAAGTGACTTGCCCAGAGTCACACAGCTAGTGAGTGTTATGTGTCTGAGGTCGGAT